AAATCATGTTGGCTGTAGATCCCATCCAGACTTTTCACCACCACCACCACCCCATGGATAGGTCAAAATGGGTAAACACCATGGATGTCCCACTATGATAGGCAAAAAACCTACACAGTAGCAGTCAAGTATGAATTTGCTGCTGCTTAATATTCAGTCTTTTTGAATGTCTGAAAAATTATATTTGATTAATTCTCAAACAATACAAGAAGAACATTTATTCTGTTCTGAATCTGTCTATACACGTGAGGGGAAAAAGAGAGCAGGTATTTGTAGGCTGATTAAAGTTAGGCCATTCTTAATAATCTCGGGAATTAAATAGCCTAATCCGATTCTGAGTTTAAGGAACAAGAATAGAAATATAAAGAAATAGAGCAAGCCAATCAGACTTAAGATTTGACTAGTCTTTCTTCTGAATGCAAAGTCTTTCTTTCACAAAAATAGGAAGATGATACAACTTGCACAGGTGAGTTGCTTTCCCACTGCTTATGATAGGGGGGGGTGGGCGGAGATGTATAATTTAGACTGTTCCGGCAGGCTGGGGGCTGTTAAAGCACCCAGTCCCATCTTAATTGTGACTGTTGTGGATTTTAAAATTGTTTGTATTGTCTTATTTATTCCCTCCCCTGTTTATTGTGAGCTGCCCAGAGTCCTTCGGGAGTGGGCGCCATACAAAACCAATAAACCTCAAACTCAAACCACATAAACTTAAAATTACAAAAGACCCATTCTAGAAGTAATAGCATAAACCTCAGACCAGGACACTGAATGCATTCCTTTGATATTTATGCAAAGTTGATTTATTATACAAAATGTACACTTTCCTGCCCCTAGCTGTGACCTTTAAGGACTGGGGAATCTGTTTCTTCATACTTATCCCTATCTTACCCCCTTCTTTCTAGTACTTACACTTCCTTAAGTGCTGCTGGAATTAGTAGTAGCCTGGTAATTGCTCCCTTTTCTGAGCTGTTTCTCTGACTCAGTCCTTATCAGTTTATAGGGGGAGAATACAATTAATTGCTGCTAGCTGACTTTAGCTAAGCTGCATCTGTGAAAGATTCTTGCATAGGATTCTGTTACTACTTTGTCAGCTGTAGTAGCTTCTGAGGCTTTTGAATCACTCCACCATCTATTTTCACCTCGTGTCTTTCAGGCATGATTGCACTTTGGTTTTCCAGTGCACTCTCATTTCTCTCTTTCACCAACATCCACACCCTGCACTTTCAGTGTTTCTCTTGTTTTCCTGAAGTACAACTGATGCCCTTTGCTCTGTTAAAGTCCCATGAGCACAATCCATAAGGAAGGAAAACTCAGGTCAGCAGTTTTGAGTCGAAAGACAATCTCTTGTATGTTTATTTTCCACTCTTTGCTGTTTGAGACTTATCTTGTATTTATTGCATTATTGGTACCTATTCTCTCTTGTATAAATATAATTATAGGCTATATTTCTTATTTGGTTTCGCTTTGCTTTTTTTCCCCTAGCAAAACCTTTAATACCAACTGCTATAATTAGATGAATGAGTTTATTGTAGTTTTTTATTGTTTGAATACGACCAAAATAAATGTATTGTCAAAAATATGGAATTTATGTTCTATTAACTATGGATAATATTAGTGCACATTTGAACCATGAGTTTAGTTATATATAAACTAATAAACTTGATAGTATAGTGTAATGTGTTTGGCTACCTTTGCCGATGTTCAGAAGCTGCAGTTAATATTAAATATGGCTGGTCCTATAATGACTGGGACAATTGAATTAACATAGATTACATCAATATTGAGGCTACATTCCTCTAATATGTATCTGACTAAAATTCAGTCACTGCTTTTGACCAAAAATGCCATTATATTTTGGTCCCAAAATTGTCTGAAAAAGTGCTTGTACTATATAATGTTAAGATTAATTATGAATGACATTAAAAATGTATCTGCCTGCTGAGAAGATCTCGATAGATATATAGGATGGTCTTCTAGGATGTACCCCATTAAGAACTTCATATGCAAAAATGTTTTCTTAATTATAATTATGCTGACCTGTTATTATTAACAGAAAACATTTTTATAATTCAGTTTTATTGATAGCTATATATTTTTTTTGTACTACCTCTCCAATGGCTCAAGGTGGCTTATGTAAATTAAACCATAAACACATAAAAACAAGACAGCTTTGTTGATTATCATAAAGATCACATTTAGTTGAACAAAATTGCTTCCAGTGTTTTTAGAGGTTGGTACAAGGATTAGGTGAAATTATATAGATTACGGTTGATTGTAAGTAAAAATACAAATCTAATTTCTATTCAACAATGGAAAAGATTTCATCAGAAAGTGAAGATTCTCCTTGAGTGGAGTTCTTGAACTGATCTAAATAACTAGCTGTTGTGAAACTTGTTGCAATTCAGAAATTATTAGCTTTTTTATGTATAGATCTTGTTCCATCTCATTATTTACATGCATACTTCACAACAGAAGCTAAAAATTCTGTAATAAGAAAGAAATATTGATGTTAAAATGTGTAATATTTTACACTGTTTCCTTTATGGAATCTGAATTTCATGAGCACAAATTATAATAAATCAATTGTTTTAAGTAAGCAAAAAAATCTGTATGGGTGTGATTGCCATGGCAGCATGGAATTTAAGTCTGTGTAGTATAATAACATGGCAGAATGTCAGGAATTTTGCTGTCTATGGAAAAAATCGGAGATTTTTCAAGGTGAAATATTCGACAAGTTCAACTCTAATTTAAACTATTAAATTCTATAAAATACTTGGCATAGTTTATATATGTTAGGGTATTCCTACATACCATCTTTTTGACAGATATATAACTGTTCAAACAACTATATTTAAAAGGCAAGATAATTTCAGTTGCCTTCTTACTTCAGAAGACACTACTAGAGTGCCTTTTGATTTGCACCAAAATCTTTACTATAAAGTGTAAACCAATGCAGTACCCACAACACTAGTGTTATATGGCTGTTATAGCTTTCAGCTGGCAGTTACGACTGGCTGCATTTTTAAAATAAATATGTCTGTGGCACTCAGTGCCTAATCTATGAGATTGTGTACTACAAATATAGTGATATCGACAGAACAGAATATTTGTTGCTGAGGGTTGAATTGTGTGTCCTTGATGCTCTTTGAGCTTAGTTGTTTTCTTGTATGTTTCATTATTGAAGTAGGTACCCTGTTTCCCTGAAGGTAAGACCTAACTGGAAAATAAACCCTACCTCCAAAACAAGTCTCATTTAAGATTGTCAGCAGCTCAAAAATAGGCCTTAACTGGAAAAATAAGCCCTAATGTGCCTTTTGGAACAAAAAGAAATACGGTAATGTTATCAATGTTAGAAGGGAGTATAATTGTTTTCATTCTATGGCTTGTCAGTGTTGGTGGGGTGGTCTTGATGGCCCCTTGAATGGGATCAAAGAGCCATCAAGACTAATTCTACCAACATTGACAGGACAAGCCATTTTACATAGAGAAAGATTCATTCTCTAGCCCCACCATTTTTCATTCTCAAAATGACATTTAAGACAGCTGTTGTTTGTACATACACTATAGGATATACTTAAGGATACTTCATAAAGCTTCCACTTGATGTGTGCTTCTGAGCAGCTGACCTCTGATGAATTGTGAATGTTAAATACATGTGATTCTGAGCCAGAGAACAATTTAAGGGGGAAGTAATGAACAAGTTCTTAATATAGCCAAACTGAATTAATAGTATCACCAGATAATTACAAATGATGCTTTTAGTCAATAAAAGGGCTTTTTAAATGTATTTTTATTAATGTGTTTTTCCCGTTCACTCATGTCCAATTCTTAGAGATTGCCTTGACAAATTTTCCTTGTAGTTTTCTTGGCAAGGTTTTTCAGAAGTGCATTGCCTCCTTCTTAAGTCTAAAAGAAGTCATATAGTTGCTTTGTGCCGAAGGCAGCTCTTCCAGTTTCTAACCTGATGCCTTGACAACTACATCCGATTTGCTACCTAATTCATAATACATTCACATATTTATCACAGGGTGGTTTTGATTTAAATCAAGTCGATTTAAATCATGATTTAAATCACTAGTAAAAAGGCTTGATTTAAATAAACTTGATTTAAATAATATTTTTAAAGAGCAACTGTCATCTCTGTCCTCCAGCGGCTCCTCTTCTGACCTGCTGTTGACTCACCAACAGTCCCAATAGTGCAGAATATATAGCATGCTACACAACTAAGCTCCATTTCATGCTGAATAAACTAAATTATTAATGTGTCTTAATTAGAAAACTGTCAAGATTTTTACTGCAAAAGCATTTTATTAAAATAAATTTGATAAAATAAAAAAATCAATTTAAATAGAAAAAAAATCAATTTTTTAATTTTTTTTTTAAAAAAATCATTGGTTTTTATCCACCCTGCTTTATCACAATTAAAATTTCTGTTCCATTTATCCCCTCATGGAATTTCTATAGATGATTGAATATACATATATTAATACAAATTAAGGTATATATTTTGTCCAGAGAGCTTCAAAAGTTACTGAACAGTAAATATCAGTGTGAAATATTTTTCTTTCACCCACTTTCTCCCTCTCACACTTATATACAAGATTATAATACCATAAGTTTATTTAATCAATACAGTTACCCGAACAAATTTTTTAAAAAAAACCATAGAAAGTTCTTTAAATAATGAAGAGTTAAAATTTAGTTTTTTTGTTGTACCTTAATTACGTATTAAATTCTTTAAAAATTGAAAAGCACTATCATGCATTTTCTTTTTTCTTTTTAGATCTTTCAGCTGCCCAAAGAAAGTTTGCTCGTTCACTGAGAGATTTCAGGTTTGAATGTATTGGTGAGGCTGAAACAGATGATGAAAGATACATAGGTATGTCAGTATAAGAAAATTTATACAGGTAGTCCTTGTTTAACAACCAATCCGTTAGCAGCCTTTTGAAATTTCAACAAATCCCCCAAAAGCTTCTTATGGCCTGGTTCCAAAGTGCCTGTGAATACACATATACTATAGTTACATGACTGCATTGTGCATTGTGGGGACCTGTATTCTGTGGTTACATGACCATGGTTTGCAAATTTTTTTTTGTTGCCAGTTTCTATCCTTCTTAGTTTATTTCTAGCAGAAAAACATGCACAGGAATATATGGATTTATTTAACAACCATGGTGTTTGCTTAACAGCTGTGGGGCTTGCTAATGACCTTGGCATTTGCTTAACCACCACTGCAGGGGTGGGTTGCTGCCGGTCCCCACTGGTTCTCGCAAGCCGGTTGGTCACCGGACCCGGAAGTAAGCCTGCCCCATCCCTGGCCCTGTATACCCATCCCGGCCTCTGTCTCCCCATTGCTCAGAAAAGCAACTTCAGGCAGGCAGTTTCTAGGATGCCTGCCGCCACCAAAGGACCTTCCCTCCCCTGGCCTGCCCCTCCCTCCCACTCGCCCACCAGCAGAAGCCTTCTGGGAGGTTTTGGCTGGTGGGCATGCAGAAGGAGGGGGGAATCCATGCAGAGGTAGGAAATCTCATGGATTCCCCACCCCCTTCATTGGAAATGAGGCGGCTGTGAGAGGAGAGAGCAGCGCATGCCCATTAGCTTGTCCAATGAATCCTCTCCTCCTGTTAATTCTTCTTCTATTTGAACAAGCCACGTGGGGCGCACTCCCTTGCTTTGACAGCCACCTTGTTTCCAATGGGGGAGAGGAAGAAATTCATCTTTTCCATCCATCTCCATGGATCCCCCCCCATTGGAAACGAGGCAGCTGTGAAAGACAAGGCAGCGCACCCCTTGTGTCATGTTCAAACAGCAAGTGGAACAGGCGAGGAGTTCCATACGGGGCTTTTTAAATGGCCAAACTCCTCTCCTGTTAATTCTTCTGTTTGAACAAGCCGCATGGGGTGCACTCCCTTGCTTTGACAGCTGCCACATTTCCAATTGGGGGGGGGAGAAAAACCCATCTTTTCTGTCCTTCTCCATGGATCCCCCCAATTGGAAACGAGGGGGCTGTGAAAGACAAGGGTTTGCATGGCTGTTCAGGCAGCAAAAGAAGGAATAGGAGAGGAGTTCCACACGAGGCTTTTTAAACAGCCAAACTCCTCTCCTGTTCCTCAGGCAGGCCGGATCAGGAGCGCACACCAGGCTGTTGCTCCTCCTGCCACTGCTGTTGTCGGTGTGACTCTTGTGAGGGGAAAAGAAAATAATAATAAAAGGCTCCCGCCATGGAGCAACCCACCCCGCTCCCTGCCGACAGATCTTTTTTCCCCTTAGCTCGGCTCTTCTTCACCCACCAAAGTGCTACCCCCACTCGGCTGTCCTTGCTGTCGCCACTCCCCCTTTGCATGCCCAGCTGACGGCCTGAGGGGAAGCGAATGATGGCGGCGCAGGGTAGCTAGTGGCAACTACTGCTCCTGAGCTCACTGTGCATAGCGAGCAGCGCCCCAAGAGAGGGAAAGAGGGAGAGAACTAATTATCACATTTGAGCCCAAAATTTTGGTTTGAAAATTTTGTGAGTCTACTCCCTTTCAAATAGCCAACAAAATATTTCTAGTTTTAATTCCATATCTTGCTTTACCATTGCTTTTAATCAGTAACTTTTGAATAGCTACTTGGACCTACCTAAGTACTGAACCTAATAGATATATACCTGTTGTTTATGATCACAATTGAGCCCAAAATTTTGGTTTAAAAATTTTGTGAGTCTACTCCCTTTCAAATAGCCAACAAAATATTTCTGGTTTTAATTCCATATCTTGCTTTACCATTGCTTCTAACAACTAACTTCTGAATAGCTACTTGGACCTACCTAAGTACTGAACCTAATAGATATATACCTGTTGTTTATGATCACAATTGAGCCCAAAATTTTGGTTTAAAAATTTTGTGAGTCTACTCCCTTTCAAATAGCCAACAAAATATTTCTGGTTTTAATTCCATATCTTGCTTTACCATTGCTTCTAACAACTAACTTCTGAATAGCTACTTGGACTGACCTAAGTACTGAACCTAATAGATATATACCTGTTGTTTATGATCACAATTGAGCCCAAAATTTTGGTTTAAAATTTTTGTGAGTCTACTCCCTTTCAAATAGCCAACAAAATATTTCTGGTTTTAATTCCATATCTTGCTTTACCATTGCTTCTAACCACTAACTTCTGAATAGCTACTTGGACCTACCTAAGTACTGAACCTAATAGATATATACCTGTTGTTTATGATCACAATTGAGCCCAAAATTTTGGTTTAAAATTTTTGTGAGTCTACTCCCTTTCAAATAGCCAACAAAATATTTCTGGTTTTAATTCC